TAGAAGCTATGGCCGGGACACCTTTCGCACAGCTCTGCTTGTGTGCCAGTTGTAGCCTTTTCTGGACTGGGAGGTATACTGATAGTCACTCATGACTTTTGTTACCTCTTGCCTATATTGTAATTCATTTTACATTAGGCTACCATAGAGAACCATTCAGAAGCTGCAGCTGGTTGAAAATGCAGCAGTCTGCATGGTAATGAGTTCTTCCCCTTTTACCCATGTCAGACCATTACTGCAAAAGTTGCATTGGCTGCTGATGAGCTTCTTGATGCAATCCAAGGTGCTGGTTACCGTCTATAAAGTCCTATATAGTTTGGGGACTGATTATTTTTTAGACTGCTTGTTCCATGTAGAATCTGACATTTGGTGAGAGATAGAGAATGTCAGTGAACGGGAACAGAGAGACTAGCCTTCTTTTTTATAGCTTCTGTCCCCTGAGACAGCATACTCCTGGAGACAAGGATAATCCCATCCCTTTTGGGAGATGATTAAGAGCTAGCTCTTCCATAGGGCATTTGAGGAGGGGCAGGTGTATGAATTCGGCTGTTCCTGAAGTTGATAAAGAGGTTCCAAGTGGAAATAGAGAGATGCTTCGTTATTATTTTCTGACTTTTTGTGTTTTAAGCCTAATTATTGGAAGTAGGAATTGATAGCCACTAAGAATTTTGGGACTGAGGTGATATAACAACTCACTTAAATAAACACAGATGGAAAAATGCAAAGAGAAGACTTTAAAGAGTATTTTGATTTGCAAACAGTATTGTCTGCCATTGAAAAGTACATTTTGCAGTGGGGAAAAGGGGAAGCACATGGGGTCTCAAGCCACACTCCATAGATTTATGCTTTGTTTATCTTGTATGCTCTTAGCAAAAGTGCTGTAAGGTCCAAATCCTCTTAATAGTTCCACTACTCATTTTTTCTGATCAAACATGGATTAATACAGACCATTGGGGTCAGCACTAATGTTCTTCCTGAAGATATCATAGTGTTCTCTAGCTGCATGGCAAGAAAAAGGCATTTGCGGATTGAACTTACCAGGCTCAGGCTTTTCTCCAGTTATTTGGGCTTAATTATCTTGTGCCAGTCATTGACTGAATAAAGATGATCATAATATGCACATAACTGATCAGTGTTGAAATTGCTTTGCACCTTCTCAGTTTTAGCCCTCCTGGTTGTATGACTCCATTCAAACAAGAGTCATTAAGTCTTTTGAATATTGGAGTCCAATGGCGGTATAAAGCAGGAGCAGGTGCATGTCATATGTTGGCCTCTGCTTTCCACCCTGCCTACCTGTCTGTCCTGGCCAAAGCAAGGAGACCTTCTGATCAAGTTGACAAGTAAGGAAAGCAAGTAGTCCTTTGAAAAGAGAAGGTAAAGCTCTTAAGAAAATCCTTCACCCTTTTGTGTTAGACTTTTGTTTTAGACTGAGAGTTTATTTATTTATATTTCAAATTTGTCACTGCCCATCTCACTGCAGAGCGACTCTGAGCAGTTTAGTTGTTAGGCATGATACTATTCCAGCTGTTTGTGAGAAGGCTTTTAATTTAATTTTTGTTTATGCGGGAATAAATTTAGGGTGCATCCTCCTGTTGCAAGCAAATTTAGAGCAAAGTCTAGGCTGACTGGGAAATCCTAGGACGAAATCCTTTCTGTGGGGATCTTCCTGGATGAGAAATACTAGTGGGGGTGAGAAAAGGAGAAAGCTCCTTTTTGGCCTCTGGTCTAAAGCTTTCCCTTTAACACCAGAGCCCATTTGTGCCTTGGATGCTAGCCCAGTTGGTTCCCCTCTCTATAAATGTTGGCTTTTGCTGATGGAGCTAAACAGCTAGGCCATTGTATATGTCAGGACCACTGGAGAAAATGCCTGAGTGGTGTTTTATATAGTGTGTCAGTGTGCTCTCTTTTAGGGTTGCATTTCTTCCTCCTCGTCCTCCTCCGCCTGCAGGGACTTGGTTGTCATGGGAACTGCTGCTCTTCCATCCTGCTGGCACAGAATGGAGAAGCCTCCCAATTTTTGCATAGTGTTCTGCCTATCTTTTGTAAGCCAAATTTCACATGTGCAATAATTGTAGATCAGATAAGAGTTAAAATAAAAACATCCCTACCACTGAGACAAAATAGGGTTTGGAGCTACAACTCAAAGAATAATGTATGTTGACCACATAGAGTGAATAGGCCAGGCTGTTACATAGAACTTTACTAGATTTGTTTTCCTGCTGGATGCTGATGAACTAAGAAAAAGCATAGGTAAAACTCATCAGGGCTAACTGGAATCTTAAATAAAAAAGGAGCAATTTACAGAAGTTATAAAATAAATAGTTTTACATGTGCTATTGTTTCAACCTTCTCTGATCCCCCTGGACAAATCTGCTTTGACAGTATGGACTCTCAAAGTATCTCCCCGACAAAAGGGGAGAGAGATGAGCATTGCAATGAGTATAAATCCTTCTCTGATTTAGGATCATTAAGTTACAGGGAGGTTTGGAAGGGTGATAGCTTTCTCCCAGGCTAATAGAGTAGCAATGGGGGGGGGGGCTTGCTCCATTTTTTAAAAAATCTGTATCCATTTTCTTTTGTCTTATTGTTGCCTTAGCCTTATAGTATCCATGGTACAGTAATTATGAATTTAGGAACAAACCCAAATATATGACATTTTTCCTCCTTATTTAATTGCCCATTAGAGTAATAATTATTGTGAAGAACTTTTGCAAGCTGGATGCCAACTCACTGAAACTAGAGCTTCTTTTTTGCAGAGGGTATTATCTTGGTACTCTGAATGCTGCATGCACCTAATGTTATCACATTTGCTCTTACTGTACCATTTCCAGATGCAAAACAAGTCTGTCTTCTAAAACATCAACCTGATTGGCACTAGTTGTGTAGGAGCCTGGCTTTGAAAAGAAGAAATGGCTATAGGCAACTAGCATCTCACTGCAGAAAGATGTCATGCTTCTGTCACAGTTGTTTAATAAGGGCTTGCTTTAAAGACAGACTGTGTTGGTGAAAAGAATAAAATACAATTTTGCCAAAAGTCACTAAGGTTTTTTCCCCATTGGTAAAATGATTTAAAAAATGATTAAAAATAAATAAAACACTAATCTAAACAGAGGAAATGAATTGGTAACATCAGCAGCTTCAAGCAAAGATACTGTACATGTCTTGGAGTTTAGGAAGTGGAAAAAAATTAAAAAAACAATGGACAGCAAGGACTCATTTTGATTTTAAGTCAATTTTATAGATTAATAATTGTACTTGGTATAATTTCTGGGCTGTTCTTGGATTCCTCTGAATCCTAATACTAGTAAATGACTGTTGAAATCTAGAAGCACGTCTGAGTTTCAAATGCTTTGTATCTACTGTATACAGCACTCCTGAGATTTGGTTTAAGTCTTGAGAGATACTTTAAATAATATTCCTGAGTGGGCAGTGCTTAGCAAATCTTTCTAATTCCTATTGCTTTTATCTGTGAAGAGTGAGTGAACAAGTGATTTCATTGTAAGGATACGAAAACAAGCCATAGCGTGACACGCTTCCCTTATTGCCTTCTAATGCTCCCAGCCCTACCACATCCAGATTAAGGTCCTCCTAGTCTGTTGATGAAGCATTTCCTCCTGCAGGGAGGAAGGGAGCAAATACAGGAACAGCTTGCTTATACAGAATTTTATAGGCCTGTTATGCCTTTTTTGAATAAAGCTCTTTGTGTTGGTGGCACTCTTATACATCCACTAATATATGACATGCCAGCTTAATGATATTTGCCAGCTTATGCTAGTGCTATTGCCAGGCACCGTGTGATTCATTATGCCAGGGTTAGATTCAGTAATAGCTTAATTCCTCCCATTTCGTTATGCAAGGCTGTCAGTTCTTCAAGGTGTAGATGGTGCATGGGACCAAGGAGATTGAACATCCTGGGACTGGAGGGGGAAGTTATCAGGCTGCTTATTGAGATTATATATTGATTCTACTAGATGTGTTCCTCGCTGCCATCATCAGAGTATCTGTGCTGAACCTCTTTGGCTTCTATAATTAGCCATTGGAGTAGACTGCAAAATGAGATAATTTTCAACCACATAAAGCCTTTATATTAATGTATGAAAGGCTACAATCTAAAAAAAGTCATTATGTCCATGTGTGTTCATAGTCTTGTATGTGCCCAGCAGGATTTTTGATGGTATCTTGGTATACTAGTCCTACACGCTCCCTTTGTGTTACAAATGGTTTTTCAACTCCCTCTCCCCAACCTCTCCTCCCCATAATTTTTAAGAGTACTGTGATATCACATTAATTTTTTGATGTTACCAAAACCAACTCCAAAGCCTCAGCCACGTGATGTCAGCTGAGAAGGAACAATTCAAGTGGCAGCTGCAGTGCAAAATTGCTTGGCTCCTGTATGGATACCAGAATGCTGGTCTCAGATCCTCTGACCAGTTTCTTCCGGTATATCATTTATATTGCCTGCCTAGTTCCACTAAGGGGATGATTTGTCTTAATTGTCCCTCTGTCTTTTTTCCTCAAGGGATCTTGATACAGAAATAGCTTATTCTGCCTCCTCTCATCCCCAGCTAACTGTAAGCACACATCGCTTGCTGTATACAAGTTAATAATAGATAGGGGTGTCATAGAAAACGTACCTTCTGCGTTTCTTGGCCTTTCTGTTAACAGTCCCTCCTCCTGCCCCGTATCTCTGTATGTGTGGTTATATTTAATCTATCAACTGCAGGTAAATCTGCATGTTTCCAGTCTATGGAATCTGATGCTACCATCCATCTATGAGTCCTTGTAGCATTGCAGTAATGTTGGTTTTAATTTTTTTTCAAGTTTATCATTCTATTATACAGAGATAATATGAGGGCTCTTTAAATAAATTTATATTTATTTAAACATACATATGTGCAACTTCATGAAAATCTCTGTGGCTGCATTTTTTGTGCCTTTAAAAAGCTGTCTGATGTATTGTCTCATTTTCTCCTGTACTTAAGTCCTATAATTCCTTAAAGGAGATTACCTTCCCTCCCTCCCCCCCTTTTTTTCTTGCAGGATCCGTCCTCAAATGCCAAAGGAAAAGATTGAAGGATGTCACATCTGCACATCAGTGACACCTGGAGAACCCCAAGTACTCCTGGGAAAGGACAAAGCATTTACCTATGACTTTGTCTTTGACCTAGACACTTGGCAGGATCAGATCTATACAACCTGTGTAAGCAAGCTGATTGAGGGCTGCTTTGAGGGCTACAATGCCACTGTGTTGGCATATGGCCAGGTATGTGTCTTTTTCACTCTCTTCACAGTTTCTGTCATGAGCTTATCTGAATGGGATTGACTTTGGGTGAAGTGGCCACGTTTCCTGATTTACGTAGATCAAGAGTACTGTATTTTATGTGAAATCATCCTCTGTTTGAGGGCTTGTCCAGCTAAGTTCAGTTTAAAGATAAACCCACCAGAAAAGAGAGCATGGGGGCCCCTTAGATTTTAGTCTTTTCCACTGGAGTGAGAGGTACTATACTTTTGTTTAAAATTTAGTACTTAGTTACATGTGTGTGTCTTTCTGTGTGTATCAAGATAGGTACCTTTTATACAACCCTGCACTCTTTTGTCCTCCTTTTTAGTCGATGCATTTCTTCTTGGGGGCGTGTGTGTGTGTGTGCACACACGTGTAAGGGGTATCTATAACTCCCATGCATGTAATCCCATAAGTTCCACTCCAGCTTCTGATTGGTTCCAAAAGACTGTAAAATGTTTGGATTAAAAGAGGAGAACCCCCCCCCCAAATACTGTAAATATATATGCGTGTGTGTGTGTGCGTGCATTTGTATATACACACACACACACACATCACCCTCATTTTTTTCTTCTGCTTATGATTGAATTGCAGCCTGGTAGATGTAGTCCTCTACTCCCACATCCCTATCTTGAGTCCCCCAAATCCTCCACTGATTTCTGCAGTGTGATATAATTATGTCTGAGGTGGTCATTATTTAATTTAAATTCCATATGTGTCTCTTTTGGAATAAAGGCTGAGGTGAGGCCTGTTTCATCACATGGAGGGGTCCATCATGTCCTGAAAAATTCTTGGAGGACATTTCCGGCCTTCAAGCCAATGAAGGGATACTGTTTCTGATCAAATGAGTATTTTGATGGCATCATCCATGTGTTAATTTAGTTAGCAAGCGGACATACATTGATGTTGTTTGAAACAACATCATAGCAGTGCATCCAAGTCTTTCTGGATATGTCATAACATTTGCTTAGTTCATCTTTTTTCATGACTAGAGTGAATACTGATTTCATATCCTGTCATGGACATTCTCTTTTTACAACACTTTTCTTCAAATGATTATTGGCTGAGCCTTGTTTCTTAATAGTATTTTTCCAAGGGACTTGTACTTCTTTAGGAGCAATACTTCAGTTTTAATAGAACCCTATAAGGCAGGTGAGGTTGAGTCCAGTAATGGCTTCTAAAGGCCACCCAATGAGCATCGTAGCTATATGAGGATTTGAAATTAGTTTTCTCACATTTCAACCATGACTTCACACTGGTTCTCACCAGCCCTTAGGAAAAGGTGGGAGAGAATTTGAAATGAATTAATCAGATGCAAGAAGAATGCATGGTAAATTAATGCTGAAACACATGGCAGCAGTAGACAAGCTTGTAAATTAGCTTCTGACATGAAACTGCTTTTCATTTTAGAAATTCATATTTCCTTTTCTCCCCAGGGCTATGTTTCATTTTTATGTCATGCAGCAGATACAGTATAATGTGGACTTACTTTAGCTATGTAAGAACAATGCAAATATGGAAAAAGTTGTGGCATGAAAAAACTTAAAAAGTAAGACAAATTTATCAAAGGGGTAAATTTGATAGTGATATTCTGTGATTAGCCGAATGACCAACAGGACAGACCAAAGATACATGCTTTCTTATCCCTTTTGTCCGGAGGCAGTTCCATGAAATACTTGCTTTACTCTCTTTAGACAGGTGCAGGTAAGACTTATACCATGGGCACTGGTTTTGACATGAACACTTCTGAAGAGGAGCATGGCATAATTCCACGGGCCATCGCCCATCTCTTCAATGGCATACAAGTGCGTAAGCAGGCTGCACAAGACCAGGGGGTCCCCATCCCAGAGTTCAAAGTCAGTGCACAGTTTTTGGAGGTAAGTATATTGATGTTGTGTGGAGACTGAGTCCTGAGACAAGAGTGTTTGGAAACTCACTGATAAGTATGATGGAGACTGGAAAGTGGTGTGGAATTTCTCTATTTCAGTGTTTGGAGATAAATAGTCAACAGTGATATATCTGAATTCAAATACAAATTAAAGCATGGGGTGTTCCTGTATAGTCTTAACAGGTGGCAGCTTCTGGCCAATAGGCCTAGTTAATAGGCAAGCCTGGTTAATATTGGGGTGGGAGACTTCCAGGGAAACTAGGGCTGTAGGCGAGACTGAGAAGTTAAAAAGAAATCCCAGAAGGCCACAGAAAACTATACCTGTTCTGCTGCCAATAAAACTACATAGTGCCCAGAAAGCCACCAGAAATCAATCTTGACTTGAAGGAGACATTATCTTTACCATTCTTGTATATCCAGTATAAATAGATGAGACCAAAGTGGCATTTGTCTCTGAAAATTATGAAATATAATGCCTGTGAACAGAAGAGAATCCTTACTGGTACTGGATCACTTGAATCTGTAATCTAAGTGTTTACTATACACAGAAACCCATTGAAGTACATATAATTTCTGACAGTAATTATAAGAAAACACAAAATACAGTAAAAAAAACAAAACAAGTTATTCTTGTCACTGCCCTCAGATCTCATTAGCTTTGAAACACTGTTAAGATCTGAGAACTGTTACATGAATAATTTGTATCTATATACTAAACTCTCAGATCTGTTTGATTGTTTGTAACCTTCAGTTGGGTGAAACAGTGCACCATAGGGCAACAGTTTTTGAACCAAGGTACCTCAAATGGGCTAACTTACAGAATGTGTCCAAAATCTGGGACCCATTACTCCCATAGGACTGAAATTTGGGAAAATTGTTGCTGCTTCAGCGCCGTCACCACACTATCTTGGTCAGCTGCGGTCACGTGATTCTCCTTTCCAACGCTCCCTGACAGCTTCCCACAAGTCAATGGGGAAAGCAGCAGGAAGTCTAAACTCAATCATGGGAAGGTGCACAGGTGGGGGAGACTTACAAAGGAGGGAGGGAGGGAGGGAGATTTCTGATGCTCCCTGACAGCTTCCCACAAGGGAAGTTGCTCTCACTCCCACTGCTTTTTAGCCCACTCACGGTCATTCTGTTTCTCTGTTTAGGTAAGAAAATATCTCTGAAACAATGACCCAATGGGTCATGGGTTGTCTAGTTATTTACTTAAGATTCTGCTTCTGGCTGCTGCAAACTTAATAAACATAAAATTTATCTCACTGTTCAGATTTTTGTTGGGCTTTTAGGGGAAGGAAGCATTTCATTTAGCATTGTGCCTCTCCATGTTTCACTCTCTGTAACTTCCTATATCTTACCCCATTAATGTCATTCTCCTTTAGGTTTATCCCAGTAATGAAATGCCTTCCCTATACATTCCTGTAAGAAGAAGAGCACCACACCTTAAAACCAAAGAAGATAAACAATTTCACACTAATTTTGGACTTGCTAATTCTCATACAGGCCTTTTGACACTGTAGTCAGCATCTCTCTTTACCAAAATAAAACACTAAACTTTGAACTTCAAATATTTGCATATCTAAAGGTTTACCCATTTTTGTTTATTGTGGAGCAGTTTAAGACGCAAAACAATAAGTTCCCCAGTAATTTGTTTTTCTGTTTCATTGTTCAGCTATATAATGAGGAGATCCTGGATCTTTTTGATAGCACAAGAGACCCTGAGTACCGCCACCGAAAATCGAACATCAAAATCCATGAAGATGCCAGCGGTGGTATCTATACCACAGGTGTCACATCACGTCTCATTAGCTCACAGGATGAGGTAGGTGATTATACTTTTTGTACATAAGGTCTTACTCCTTTGTTTCATCTTAATGAACATGGAGCAGCTATTTTTTCTGATTCCATGTTCACAGTCACTAAAACAGATTACATTCTCTTCACCTTACCTGTAAAGGCAGATAAAGGTAAAGTCTCCTTCAAGTCAAGCTGCACACCTGGTGACTTCATGGACAGTTTTCTTAACAACAGTGTGGAACTGATTTGCCATTAACTTTCTTCCGATATGTTTTTCAACTTCCCAGTCTAGTTGTAACGTAGTATTCCCTAATAGTTTGTCACCCATTCAACCAAGCTTATCTTCCAAGTCCAAACAAGGTGGTGTTACTTACTCAGTTTCATCTATAAAATTCATCTAAAGACTGGGGTAGCAAATTCCACTTTCCTACCATTACAACAAAGTGGTTTAGGTGATAAAAACTAAGGTTTAATTGAACTGCAGTAACTGGTTTTGAGTATGTATGGGATTTTAAGATTAGAATTCTTCAACTCTGTTTCAGGCTTCAGCCTGGTTGTATTCTGATTTCACTAGAGTTGCTAATGTTCTATCCAGCAAAGTCTAATTGCCATGCATTATTTGGATGGTGTCCATAACTGAACCCATTTTTCAACTATGAAAAATCTCTCTTCATTTAGCTTTAATAATGTGGAACATCATCTTTAGCTTTATGGCTGTCCTTCCATTTCCATTTTTACTTTTTGCAGCTGACTCAAATTGTTACCCTCATTATGTTTTAACAACTAGAATCTAGCTAATACTGTACTGTGTATATGTTGACTGGTTGGAAGTATTTCTTATTTTTAATGGATAACAAGCCTTGGAAGCTAAAATAGGGAATGAAGAGGGTGGGGTGGGAAAGGGACTGCTTAAACTTTGTCCCTCTGATTACTTTCCATCTTCACTTAAAAGATAGCAGCCTCATAAATCTTCCCTCTTACAGACAGAGCGACAGCTGGCAAGTTGTTTTATTTTTATTTCATTACTTTAATATGCATTCCTATCCTGGGAACTTCTGTGAAGAATCATCTATATATTTTTGTGGTAAATATAAAACAAACAAAGAAACGGTTTCTCAATATTAAGACAAAAATCCACACCATTATTCAAAGCCTCTTAAGAATTCACAAAATGTATATGAAGCATAAAATGAATTAAATCATGTCAAATATTCTTTCCATAGCCAAAACCATATTAACAAAGCCAAATTCCTGTTCTTGAGTGTTCTTGTAAAAGACACTGAACAGCTGCCATGCTCAACTGCAGCCTTTGCCAACCTGGTACACTAGTGTTTTGTTGGATTTCAGTTCCCAAGTTATCTGGGGAAATCCAACACACCTGAAAAACATCAGGGTGAGAAAAACTGACACTGTGAATTTATACATACAGATCCTTCCTTCTTTCATTCAAATAGTGAAGATTCTCTTGGTCTAGGATCTTTTTCAGCACGCTGAATTGCTAGGAGCTTCGGATTGGTTTTAGACCCTTGCATGCATATCCTAATATTTCCAGTCAAAAGTACATCAGTCTTGGAAGATAATAAATAATCAGTCATACTTAATACTAAATATTAGAAAGCTGCAATTTTAAAGAAGATCAATTATATGTAGAAGCAGAAAGAATCTGAAAATTTGTCTCTTTATTCCAGTCACCTTTCTTTTCATTTGCTGAGTCCTTAATCTTAGGGCTTCTGAGGACCATAAAAAATACCTCCAAATATGACTTCGGTCCTTGAGAGTAAATATGTATGCTTTGAATCTCAATTTTTCCAGCATTTGTTTTTAATTGTCAAGGGATTAGCGATTTAAAATGTGCTTTTCCCATGTTTATAGAAGGGGATATAAAAGCTCTGCTGCTCCATATAATCTTTTTTTTTTTTAATCTAACCATTACCATCCAATTTAGCATTTAATAATTTCACCCAATGAGAAATTAATTTATTTTGCTATAATCTTAAGATTCTAAATTTTTAGGTACAGTGTTCTTCATTTAATCAAAATTTTCAGTGTATATTGTCAGGATATTTAGACCTTTGTTTCAGTGTAGAAATAAAATGAAATTGAATGCCCAATTACCATGTTCATTTGGATGTTGATTATTACAGAAGTGTAATGAAGTTACTCTTCTGCAGGAAGTTCTTTTAAGTGGGGAGATGCAGAAAGAATCTGAAAATTTGTATCTTTATTCCAGTCACCTTTCTTTTCATTTGCTGAGTCCTTAATCTTAGGGCTTCTGAGGAAAATACCTCCAAATATGACTTCGGTCCTTGAGAGAAACTCTCTACTTTTTTTCTTCATCCTTATCCCACATTTGAAAAGCAATTTGACCTATCATCTGAATTTGTCAGGCTTTATTATATAACTTATTATTAGACAATTCGGATATCTGTCTTAAGAATTTTGATTAAATATGACTAATTTTATATAATAAGGTTTGGACTTAACACATGTTTTTATATATTTATTAACAATTATTTTGTCCTAATTTTAAATTATATCTCACTATCCCACTCATTTAAATATTTAAGAGTGAAATAAGCATTTGAAATGTATACATAAATCATAGGAGCCCAGCTGCTAAGAGTTAGTACTAACAAAAGAAGTGAACTTCTTCAAGAAACCTTTCAAGTCAAATATTTTCATGGACCTTGTTTCACCAAATTCGTATTGCTATGTTACTTTGTTGAAATAAATGATCCAACCATTTAGTAAATTAACAAACACTTTCTCCTGTGAAAAATACATAACCCTTCTATTCAGAAGGAAGTCTCATTCAGCTGGGTGCGCAGCATTGCAACCTAAATTATGTTTGGATTGGGGAAATGATTTTGAACTGAGAAACAGCAAGAGAGAAAAGGATTAAATCTGGGAGAAAGATTTAACTGCATGTAGCATCTAGTTCAGCTTACATTATTACTGTCTTGTGGCAGGTAGAAGAAGATTTTTGCAAGGGTTAATGAAATAGTATAACAGATTATTTAAGCAAGATGGAAAAGTAGTACTTTTCATTTACCTGTGTATATGTGGCCACGGGGGCGGGGGGGCAGCTTGCACCTGGGCTGAAAATATAACCCCATCTCTCACTGCAGCTAATCCAGTGCCTGAAACAGGGAGCTCTGTCCCGAACCACAGCCAGCACCCAGATGAACGTCCAAAGTTCCCGCTCCCACGCTATCTTCACAATCTACCTTTGCCAAATGCGTGTCTGCTCTCCTGTACACTTGGTAAGGGCATAAGGAGAGAAGCAGAGGTCAGAAGGGATCATATCTCTTCCCCCTTTGTCCTCAAATGGAAATGGTGGAATTTTTGGTGGCAGAGATGTAGTGTGCAAATTAGAGACACAGCAAGAGCTTTGGGGGGATGTGGGGAATGAGAACTTGGGAGCTTGAATCAGTCTGTCTCATTGTCTCAGAAGAGGAAGCTTGGCTTTTCGTGTCAGCAGCAAGTTAGTTTTGTGGGCATATCTTTGGCTTTGTGACGAAATAACCACAGTTGATATTTTGTATAGTACCAGGTGCTAGCAAATTATGCCTTGAAACCTGATGCTGTGACTTGTTCTTACTACAGGTGAATGGAGACACAAATAGTCTCCTGGAGGGATCCCAGCCTACCAGTGAATATGAGACACGAACAGCCAAATTCCACTTTGTTGATTTGGCTGGCTCAGAGAGGTTGAAACGAACTGGTGCCACTGGCGAGAGAGCTAAAGAAGGGATCTCTATCAATTGTGGTTTGGTATGGTGGATTGGTTTTAAGACTGAATATAGTATTTTCGGCTGTAGTTTAATTATGGTTTTAAGTATGCAGTTTTTATTTTATTATTTTCTGTTGGTGAACCTTGTATTGTAGTGTTTGCTGCCTTGAACATTCTTGCTTGGATAGAATGGTGGGATATAAAACAAATAATTAATTGTTGGTGTTGGATGTGAGGGAAGATAGGCCCCATAATATTCAGTCTGGTGTCTTGTGATTCAGGGCACTCTTGCACAGCCACCAGCTTTGCTCCCCAGACTCTCACAAATATTTGCAAGAGTCCTCATTGCAATCATCTCAGAACATAAAGAACAATAGAAATGCTCACTAATGTTCTGTCCAGTTGGTGAAAGGTTAGTGCAGAAATGTTCAGCCAGCACTCTACCCCTCATTCTTTCTTCATGCTGAGTGAATTAAAAAACAACCAGGAACTTGGAGGACAAAAAGCAAAGCAGTCCATTTGCTCAATCTCTAAAATAGTGAGGACGATTGTGGGTTATTGGCTATATGGAGGGGAAGAGTTAAGGAGCTGGGAGGTAGGATGAGATGAGACTACCTCCCAGTGGGTGGCTGCCCATTCCTAAGCTCTGAAGTCTATGGCATAAAACTAATATTGTGGCAATTCCTTTTGTACTATAGCTGAGCCAAAAGATAATCAGCTGTGCTGCTCAAGCAACACTATGGTACATGATTGTGCAGGTGTGGAGACAATCCAGGAGCCGTGTAAAGTTCTCATGTGGAAGTGCCCTCAATAGTTTAATGTGTACACAAACTTAGGTTTGGTCATGCTGATGAAGAACTGAGCTGTTTGTAGCATGCAGATTTCATGAAAAGGGATTGTCTATATGAAATGTATTGTGTATTGCTTCTGGAGGGCAGAGTTCCATTTACTGGAATAGCTGCAAAAGAATAATTTGATGTTTAGGAAAATATGGAAGTGGGACTATATTTCTGTTGCCAGTCAGCAGCTTTAACATTTAGTTAAAGAGATGCTTTATGCAATTCTTTTTCATCTTAGATCTATACCTAATGCAACTGCAGGATACATTTGAAAATATAAAATATGAATGTGACATTGACTTTTGGAAACATGCATCATATAATACACTTGTTGCAAATTCTTTGTAGTGCATATATAGTATAAAGCAGTATTATCTGTCCATGACCATTTTATACACTGTAAATTAGGTGTTGTATCTTACGAAGTAGTGAAATAATTAAATAATGAAAGGGATATGGCACATAAGAGACAAGAAAGATCAGTAGCCAAAGTAGTAGTGCTCAGGGTTCTCCTGGACGTAAAAGAATCAATGAAGGAAACACAGCCCACTGAAAGTCATATGTAAAACATAAATATTTGATAAATTTTTCCGAGCCATGATTTTTATCATATAATTTTTCCCCATAATTGTGAGGGTTAGGAACCTGCATTTTTAATGAGAAGATAATCTTTGTATTGATGTGTACTTCATGAAAAGACAGTTTGATGTAGTTCAATGAAGGTGCTTTGCAAGTCTTGTTTGCCTGCCTTTTAACACGAAAGTTCATATACTACACTCCTGTAATGGAAAAATTATGTCATTTTATCAGTCTGATCTTCCTTTAAGCAAGGAGAATCCACTTCCCAACCAATGTGTGTTATAATCTAATAAGCAGGGAATGGAAGAGGGAAAATAGTCTGGAGTCTGGTGGTTTATCTGAGAAGAATTTAGGCAATAGGAAAAGAAGGCAACTTTATTACTGACCTGTCTATTTCTTTGACAGTTAGCATTAGGAAATGTCATCAGCGCCCTTGGGGATCAGAGCAAGAAAGCCTTGCACGTACCCTACCGAGATTCAAAGTTGACCCGGCTTCTCCAAGATTCACTCGGCGGAAATAGGTAAATGAGAAGAGACATTAATAGAGCTCCTTATGCCAGCCCCGAAGTCTATATAAGCATTTATATGGGGTTGCTAGCATCGAGAATTTCAGATGAAAAGTCTGCCAAACAATGCATATCTATGGATGTGCTTAATTAGAAATCAAGGCAAGGCCACCAGAAGTATTTGAAGGAATGAATTTTTAAACACATCACAAGCTTAATTTTTTTCACATGTAATGATTAGTTTCTGTAGTATAGATGGTTATATAATATGCCTAAGTTGGTTTTCATCCAAATTTTGGCAACTGAACCTCCTAACATCAAATTCTTGTAATCTTGTTTAAGCTTACCCCACTCACTTTCTAACCTGTTTTAACACCTCTTTTTTTTTCTTCATGCTCATTATTAATCTAGACATATATTTTTGGATCTGAAATCCCCTGCTTTCTTTTCATTATTGAGCAGATAATTTAATAATTAGCTGATGGCCCAGAAGAGCCATGGTTCTTTAGAATTATGAGTGGGCTCCTTGCATGTATATCTTCATCCTGTGTGCATAGTTTGGAGCATGTGCCTATTGAGCTGCACTCCCAGATGTTTGGAAGAAGCCAATATTAAGAATGCCTTGATCCCTGCTTTGTTATTCCCATTAGGGTATAGGTGATATGACAGAGAAGCTAGCTGGTTAATTTTTTGTTTGACTCCATCTGCGATCCTCTTTTATAGCCAAACTGTAATGATTGCCTGTGTGAGTCCTTCAGATCGGGATTTTATGGAGACCCTGAATACCCTTAAATATGCCAATCGTGCTCGCAACATCAAGAACAAAGTGGTGGTGAATCAGGACAAGACCAGCCAGCAGATCAGTGCCCTGAGAGCTGAAATTGCTCGTCTCCAGATGGAACTTATGGAATATAAGGCAGTAAGTAGAAGTCATGAACAACTACATGTTACTGCTGAATTAGTGTTAATTCTTAGATCAAACCACAGACTTCTAGCACTAGAAATATCTCTAGCGATGGATGGATTTAAATTAGTCTTTGAGTCTTTGATGTTTTATATAATCTCACTTAAATTTTGCTTGAAAAAAACAAACCAATTCTTTATATGAGCTCTCTTCATGTTTTTAACAATTCTACTTCTGCAACTGAATCATCATATATGGACAGTCAGAAGTGTTTCTGACCTTCTGTCTTCAAAATGGATATATTGATGACCTACAATGCAACTAATGAACCCAGTAAATAGCAGGAATTGGCTTCATTTCTCCTCCCACCTCTTTTTTTAAGAGGTCCCAGGGTGAAAGGTTGGCATTGTGAGCAGTGAAACTACATGTGATCTAATTAGAGTATGTTTGTCTCTTGGTGTAAATAGATAAGCCAAAGGTGTGTTTTAATGAAGGAAGATGATTTTTGAAGTTGAGGAGTTAGGATATCCCCTGGTCAATAAGAGCAGAGCCAAAAGAATATTCAAAATTTTGTCAGCTCATAAACAATCTCTCCCCCCACCCCTCCAAATACTTTCATGGTGTTATGAAATTGCAAGAAAGATGAGAGAAAATGGCAGTTGGGACTTAAAAGGCTACTTCTGTATTTTAACTAAATATGTGAACGTTCAGAAGTGTACTCATTTATTCCACCTAACTCATTGATACTTATATCATACATCTAACTCATATAATACTTAGCTAAGGGTTTTTTTTTAACTATAGTGTGTTGATTGAGCCTTTTTTGTCCATGAATCGTGCTAAACCCAAACCAGATCATGTTATGCCATTGTATTATGTGTGAACTAGGCCACTGAATATGCAGCATTTCTAGTGAATTGTTAAGTGTAACAATGAGGGAACTGTATCAGCTCTACCATGCTGTGTAACTAAGGAGTGGGCTATATGAAGTGTCAGAGGAGGGCTTTGCTTTGTTTGATGTTCAAATAATAAAGAACCCTTTTGATGTAGCTCCAAGAAGTGAAATGAAGCCCCACTTGTAGGCACTTCCACACTGCTACTCTGCTGCATCACCTTGGCTACTTCACTGGCCTTCAATCTTCTTTGCACACGTGCATGCACGAGACATTTCTGACAAGCAGAACAGCCCAAAGCTTTTGATTGGAGGTTTAAGGTGGAGTACCTCACTTTTTCACATCAAGATGACATTTCAAAACAGGAGAGTTTTGAGTTGAGGCAGCTTTGTGATGTCTGTCTCCTAATGGCAATTTATAAATAGCTAAATCTACCATACTAGCTATTTAGAAAGACAGTGAAAGCAAGTCTATTCTGAGTTATAGGCTACAGTCATCCTGCTTTTCTAATGCTGGCACAACTTATGATGTTTATATGCAGATTTATTTATTTATGTTGTAGTTTAATGTTTTAATGTTATTCTGTATCAACATGTTATGACCTCCTATGCAGACTTTACAGTCAAAAACTAAAAATAGAAACAGAGAAATACATCTTGTTTACTACTTCTACTGCTTGTTCAGAAGGATAAGAAAGGCACCATACCTCAATACGTATGAGAATAAATACCCCAATACCAGAATAAGATATGGCATTGCCCTATAACTGCTACTCTCTCAGAATACCCAACTGACAGCTTTTTGTTGACTTCAGCCTTTCCCACTGTTTCCTCCCCACCCCAAAGGGTAAGCGTGTTATTGGAGAAGATGGCTCTGAAGGCTATAGTGACCTGTACCAGGAGAATGCCATGCTGCAGAAGGAGAACACCACTTTACGTATGCGGGTGAAAGCCATGCAGGAGGCCATTGATGCAATCAACATCCGTGTCACCCATTTGATGAGCCAGGAAGCCAACCTAATTCTTGCCAAGGCAGGTGAGAGTGTGAGGGCTATTGTTGGGGTTCCTACTCCAGTTCAAAACCCAGCAAAGAGTGAATTCTGTAGACGTCTTAAATAACAATAGAACCTTTGAATTTACAGAGTTCCTTCACTAAGGAACAGAATGCATGGAGCAGCACCAGAAGATCTACTCTTTCCATAGCCATCACCTTTGTCCACCAACCCTTCCAAACATATTCTGCCATCTAAACTCTAGTGCCTGTCTTCCTATCTTGGTGCCATTACAGGGGGAAAAAATAACACAATCCAGGTTATGGCTCCACTCCACCCCCTCCCTCTTTTTATTTGCCTCTCCCCCAAATGCTGTTATTACAAAACAAGCTAACCAAAAACTGGTGGAACATATTTATTAGTCAGAGAATGATTGTCTACAAAAATTCGATGTGGGTTTCTGACTGGGTGAAGTTCTGGATTGATAGGAGCCTCACAGGTGTTTTTCCTCCCGATTAAAAGTAGTTTTGTGCATGTGACTATTGTTACATATAGTTTGATTTTAGGGTTCTTGTCTATAGCATTCCTAGTAATCAAGAAGATTTCTTATATTTCCTTGGGATATTTTTACCTAGCTTTTTCTCTTAACTTGATTGCTTCAGTTTTAAAAGCTGTTTTCATTATCGTGGTTGTTGTTTTGTTTCTTATTTGTTCTTATCTTCCAGGTGACGGCAATGAGGCTATTGGTGCTCTGATCCAGAACTACATCAGGGAAATTGAAGATCTCAGGTAAGTAGAAACTTTTTTGCTTTATGTTCATGTTTTTTGGAGTTGCCAGCCCTATTAAGATGGGGGGAAACCTTGCTGGTATAAAAGAAAAGTTAAAGCACTTAGAAATTTGTGATATCTCAGAAGGTTTAGAGATTGTGAATTAAAGTGCCTAAGAACTTCTTCACACTACACAAGGTTTACAGTCTGACTTGTGTTATTTTTACATTTGAATTGGTGGCACCCAAAGTTGGACAGTGGTACCAGTAGAAAAGAGCAGCAGGCCATATGTGCACAAAAGATGCAGCAACTACAGCAGGCATAGATGCAGGAACATTCAACTGGAACAGCCATTACTTCATGAACTCACAGTAACCAGATTTCACTGTCATCCAGGAATGCGGATGCAAGAAAGGCAGAGCTGCTGTGTTTATATACAATTACACAGATGCAATAAGACAATGGAAAAGAAATGCTTAACATTAACAATTCCTATAAATATACATCTGGCACAGAGGCACAGTTGCAGTATGTTTTCCAACTATCTCTTTTGGAAGCCAATTTTTAACTGAAGAATATGGATGGGGAGGATTAAATCTTCCTTATTTGCAGAGCTCCAAAAAAATCAAGTTTTCAGGATCCTTAGGTTATCTTGAAACCTGTGTTTACACTTGAAAACATTGTACAGAAAAAAATAGTTATTTCTAACTTCCATGCTACATTTGGACCACTGCCAAATACTTATGAAAGATAATTCTTCAGCATTTGAATCAGTCTTTAATATTATTAGACAATTTATGCAATGCAGCCTGAACTTGTTTTCTATGACCCTGAGGAACTGAATAGGATGACCTTTTTTCATTTGCTTTATCCTTTTATCTTTTCAATTTTGTGTTTTCTGCTATGTGAATGTGTTTTCTGGAGAAAGTATTTTGGGCCATATTTTGCTTATTGATTCCTGTTCTTGTAATATAGCAGAGTGGTCTTTTGAACTTAGGATATGATGTCATTAAAAGATGGCATCAAATGCATTGCCTCATGCTTTCTGGCAAAGAAATTCTCCCTGCCAGAGAATTTCAAAGAAATTTGTCTCTAATTAGATGGATCCACTTCACTATGTAATGATGTTTTTTGTCAACTTTATAGGACAAAACTCTTGGAGAGTGAAGCTATGAATGAATCACTACGTCGCAATCTGAACCGGGTTTCATCCAGGCTGCCCTATTCCCTAGGCTTATCACCAGGGACTGGATTGGGAGCTTCAAATTCCCCTGCCACCTCGGAGGAAGCTGAAGCCTCTGAAGTCCTACAGTGGGCCAAGCAAGATCTTGAGAGGCTGAAGAAGGAGACGAAGCTGCGAAAAAAAAGGTAAACCGCATCTCCCATTTCACCAATTGCCACAGTCTTTATAACAGTGACTAGGGATGGGACATCCCCCTTCTTCCGTCCTTCCCACCCTTTACCAATTCTTGTGTCTCAACAATCATGATTGAAGACTGCATACCATTTTTTTCACTTATATAATCAGAGGCGTGAGTGCCAGTTTGGTGTAGTGGTTAAAGGCACTGGGCTAGAAACCAAGAGACTGAGTCATGCCCTTGGGCATGACTAAAGTGGGTGACTTTGGGTCTGTCACTCACTCTCAGCCTTAGGAAGAAGACAAGGGCAAACTGCCTCAGAAAATTTTGCCAAGAAAACTGCATGGATCTGTCCAGGCAGTTGCCAGGAGTTAAGACTAACTTGGACATGGACACTCACACAAATCAGTGGTGTAGCAAAGAAAATTGCTGGAGAACACTGTTTTGGGACTTCTTTCAAATTAGAGTGGTAAAATGTATGGCGGGGTAACTGGCAGGATATATATATATGCATGGATGCTTTCTTGGATCCCTAACTTTATAGCAACAGTTTAAATGCTAATTTATTAGTAAGATAAATTTGAATTATAGGTTGTGTTTCAGCTAGGTGAAGATCTTTTACAGTACTAAAGTTCAATGTGTTCTGCAAGTTAAACCTATGCAGCCAGAAGTAAGCACCACTGTGCTTTATGGTAGTCACTCCCATGTAATTATGCATACATTGTACTGTGGAGTCCTTGGGGTTCTCTGAGCTTGGTGTTTTCTTCAAATGTTTCGTTACCCAACTAAGTAACATCTTCAGTGCTAGAATGGAGTGGAGTTTGCTCTCTGTTTATATACAGTGGCTTGCCCCACCTGTGTTGGTGGTTAAAAAAAAAAAACCCACC